ATCCACACAGAGTGCCAGCTCCATGCCCCATTCTCGATCTGGGGAGACGGCAGGAGAACAACAAACATGAGACAGATGTATGTTGCTTAATTTGGGGCTGGAGGTGCTGACGCTTTCTCACATGAGAATGGTAGATGAACTTAAAAGGACAGAATGCCCCTGAATGGAAAATCACCATCTCTAGTTTCATCACCAGTGGAGTTAGCTCACCACAAAAGGGAATATTAATAACAATTCATGAGATTAGTCCAATATTGCTTGCCTGACATTATGTACTGTCATAAATGTCATTGTAACCACTAGATGTCATGTGAAAACATATCTTTCTCTACCATGTCACAAAAGTAGGGGATAAGTTTCTTTGTTAAAGATTTAAAAAATAAAATGTTGGTATAAATCAGTGACTTCTACACTCCTCTAGCTAAACAGGCCATTCCTGCCAGCTCCTGCCTCAGTCCACTCTGAAGAACAAATTGCAGCTGGATATTTGCTCACTACAGCTGCATCAGTAGGAGGGAATTCCCACATGCCTGGGAGTGTTCCTGGCACGACATCACCTGTGCTGCTACATGGGCATGAGTTTGGCCTGTTCCAGCCACTACTCTCCCAACACAGTTCCCAGGCATAGTTTTGGTCTGGAGAACAATCCCAGGGATTATTCCTAGTGAGTGACTTGAACACACTAGCCTGTTTCGGAGGCTGAGACCATTAATGGAGATGTGAGCTGTTGTGAGCCATTTGGCCTCAATACCCAGTTCCTGCAGGAGAATCATTCGGACTCACAGTGACCACAGTATCCAACTCCTAGCTGGGTGCCAGGAGTATTTTTTCTTATACTTGTGATATTACGACTTAATTATATTCTGTAGGAAGTAACACATTTTTCTGGCTATGTTTTGTGCTTAGTAGTGTTACTGATAAGTTATTCCCCATTGATAAGTATTATACCTGATGACTTTAGGCAGGTATGTTCACTGTTTTTAACTCCACTATGGAAAAGATTCAGTACTCTTATTCTCTCTATACCGCAACTTTGCCTGGATTTACACTGTAGTGAAAACCAAGTGACTCTCCAGCAGTGTTTTTTCTGTGAGTGTTCCTCATTTTACTGATTGACAGTTATTAGAGGCAACAGATGGACCTCTGCTAAGTAAACCAGTGCTTTTCTTCAAAATACCATTCCTTTTGTCAGCACCAACATGCCTTGAAAGTTTTTTATTTCCTTCCTTCCTTCCTTCCTTCCTTCCTTCCTTCCTTCCTTCCTTCCTTCCTTCCTTCCTTGTTGCACATTTCAGGAATGGCTCTCTGATGAGACCCAGACAGACAGTCTACCACACCTTCTGCAATGAAATGTTGTGAGAAGACAGTAGCTCCCATCCCCAGAAGCAGTTGAGTTGTGTCAGCCTGTCTGCCAAATTTTGCTTTTTCAGCACTGATGAAGTTATACAACTGCTAATTCCAGAGCTATTGCGGTGAACCCTAGCTTGGGGAGGTCTCTGCTTGCCACTGTAGCCTACTATGATATTAGGTTCAGGGTCTAATAGAAAACTCTCTGCAATCACTTAACTTTATAAATCTCAGGTTATTATAACCAGTGTCTACCTGTCATTTAACATTCTCAGCACGCATTATCTATTTTCAAATAACAAAAAAGACTGTATGACAGCCTTTCTCAAGGTTGCTAAACTGTCACCATTTTGACTGCAATATGCCCTATGAATCTAATAAATGTAGATTTTAAACACACAATTTAAGTATATTTCTTATTTACTATCAATTGCATCCCACTCATATTTCTCTTGGTTTTTCCCCAATTTAAAGAAATGCTTAATATCCTCAATTCCCAATCACTACAACAGCCACTCAGGATCAGGATGACATACAAAGCTACCTTTTTTTAGAAACAACTATAAAACAAATACAAAAATAGTCTTACTGTGTTAGAATTAAATGACTGTCAAGCCTATTCCTTGAAGCAGGTTCTAATGTAGTCAGAGCTGCAACATTCTGTGCATATAAAAATTTTTATACCAGTTAAAAAAAAAAAAAAGATTTCAATAAAAGCTTTCAAAAATGAAGAACTGCTGCTAGTGAGTTATATATCAGTATAGGTATCCAGTATTTATCCCTGGAGGGATTTCTTCTTACAGAGGCTCTAACTCCCTACCAAATGGAAGCGCTCACCTTCCCAGTCGTTTGGACAAAGGTTAGCAGGATAAAATGATTTGTTATGGCAATAAAGTTTTTGTTACACTGTAAAATGGTTTGTTACGCTACTACTGCTACATAAAAATGTTATGAAAATTAAGTAGGTTGTAAGGTCCAAAAAAGAATAGGCTACTTTTAGGACTAGCTACTAGGAAAATAAAAAAAGAAGGGTTTTTGATCTACAATTCTTCAGTACTGTGAAAAGAACCTAAATGACCTTTTAACTAACAATTGAAATTCATACCCCAATTAGGAAAGCAGTTATGTATCCAAAATGAATGGAAACTTCCTCAGGTCAACAGTACTCAGAAAATGTGAGAAAACTGCAACAAGTCCGATAATCTGGTGGTGACTTCTGTCCTGTGTGACACTAAATTAAACAAGCCAAAATTACAATTCAGAATGGAAACTGAAGTACAGACTCACGCTAATCATAACGTGTCACAGATCGGATAGCAAGATAATAAGACTTGAGGAAAACCTTCTTTGTGTATGGGATTTTAATTTGAACATTGTGTGTATCAGTCAAAAGCAGTATCTGAAACTGGCAACTATTTAATTCACAGTCAAGCCTTGTAAGTTTGTGGCACATTTTGAACTTGCAATGAATTGTATCCAGAATTTATTTATGATTGTTACAGGCAATCAGTCACTCCACAAGAAAGGGAAGGCCTTTGACATCAATGCTTTATAATTATTACATCATTTTTATACATGTCCATTTTCATATTTCTTTTAGTTTGTACAGTTTGTACATATTAAATTTTTTTATTGTATTATTCTAATACAATAATACTGTGTTCCTGTTATTTGATAAATTTTGACCAGAAATGCACTGCACTGATAAGTGCAGAAGAAAACAGTTCCTGATTTCAACAACCAGCTGCATTTCCACTGAACTCTAAATTATCACAAAAATTCTAGAAGATTTTTTTGTTTTGTTTTGTTTTGTTATGGAAGTGAGAAAGTATTGGAAATATTTATGGTTTTCTCTCTTTAAATGAACCACACCTCAGTTTCCCTTGTACAGGCTCACTGAAGCAGCTGAATGACTCCGCACTGCGAGGGGAATTTGCGGCAAATGAAGAGCTCGGGGAGAAGCAACCTGCTGTGAGTACAGGCCCCCACAAGAGTAAGGAAGTTGCATTCAGTTAAGATTTCCAGATGTAGTGTGCAAAATTCTTCTGCAAGGCCTGCTTTCACAGAAACATTATAATGCATGTTGATATACACAGGACTGGATCTCAAGAGAAGTGATTTTGTCCTCACTGGAAAAGATCCTGACTTTGCTGTCTGACTGAATGACAGTCAGGAGCAGGTTTGTGTAGGTGCTTGTGATGTTCTGGTGCCTGAGAAGCTGATAGACCAGGAGCAGACAAATGGTTTGTGTAGGTGCATGTGATGTCACCGGTGTGCTAACCAAGAGCACTAATTCAGACCTGGATTGTCAAGTGGAATTTCATTAATCACTGCTGTAAGATTTAAGTTTATCAAATTTTGTTTAAAAGCAATGGCAAGGAAAAAGCACTTAACATCTTACAAAAGGCATTTAGTAATGCAGAGAAATTATCTTGCACTTTTAGACTACTTTATTCTAGACAGCTGGACAAGATGATAGATGTAACCATATACACTGATATTTTTCTTTCAAAGGAGAAATGTCCTTATCTTGAAAAAATGTAAATCTAAAATTTGAAAATAATGTTAAACTAATGAGTGATATCTATCCTGCAGATCCCTTTTACTCTGATAGCAGCAGTTATTTACTGGTCAGTTAGTAAAACAGCCTGAAGTAGTGAATAGACCAGGAATATGCAGCCTTTATTGTGGCTCGGACCAGTGAGTTCACTTGACTAGTAGGTGCGGGCTGCAGACTGAATCTCTTCCTCTGTCTGACAAGCACTGGTGGCCACGGTTAGGACCAAGAGCCATGAGCATTTATGTTCTCAGAATAGGTCTGGACATCTGGGGTGTATCAGACCTATGCGCACCCACTTGAGGTGGGCTGGTTGCTGTGTACTACACACAGCTATGTAGAGAAAGATCCACCACTTATACAAGTTCACACACAGTTCATGACAAACAACCCTTTAAACACAAGCAGAAGCAGCCATCAGAGTGAGGAAAGTCTGTGGCCAAGACTGGGCTGTTGCTCCCAAAACAACTTATCCAGCCCCAGAGCTTCCCTGCACTGCAGACTTTTCATAATGACTTCTTGTATTTGCAGTTTTTGACTGATATTGCAACTGCAAAATGTGGATCACAGAGGTAGAGTATTCTGATAATGCAGAATACCAGGAAAGAACAAATAATATGGTTAAATATAAATGAGTACTTCAATTCCTAATACTTCTCTGATCTTTTTCAACTGTTACATCCACATCTCACTTTGGGAAGAAACTTAGTCATGTATCATGTAAAATATATTTACATTCAAGGCTGAATAAATACTGTCATTAATTGTGAACTTTGGAAAGTTTTAGGCAAATTGATTTCGGACAAGTACATGTCTCAATGAATGAGAGCCAAAAACTTGAGTTTATTTTCACCTATCCCCGCAAAGGCCAGACTGGGGGACTATGCCTGTAAGCTGTATAAGATATAAGGAAAGAAAAGACATGGGCACATTTTAATAACATGAACATCATTCTCTAATTCAAAATACAATTAAAAATCTGTGCTGCTATTCATCAACTACTACATCCCCCTTTTAGGACAGAGACAGCCAACAGCAGCAGTCTGCATGCAAAAGGACTGCCAGAATCCAAGTACAAAAAGAAACTGGAACTTACGGAGAGGAGTATTTGGATAGCGCTGTGAATGACCTCTAGGTACTGGAAATCAATTATGCAGCCTGTCACGGAGACATAGGAGTAATCCTCTAGGATGCCAGGGGCAGAAGGACGTACCACTCTTCGTATGCAGCCAGGCCCATGTTCCCGCCACCAAGAGCGGTGCATTGAGATGTTAAAGGTCATGAGATCAGTTTCCTAGGAGACAGGGAGGGGAAAAGTGTGAAAAACTTTAATTTTGTGTTATTTAAGGTAAAGCGAGGGAAATAAAAGATGTTTTCAATTATTGTAAGGAAAATGAGATAATAGCTTGCCTTTCCCCTCACCTCAGTAATTTTAACATGAGATCAGGCCATGAAAGAGGAGAGAAGAAATTGCAAACATTATTGTTTATTTTGTAATTATGCATAGAAGCTTCTGTCTGGGAGAAAAACTGTCATACTAGATACTGTACAAAACACAGTGCATATCCTATGTCTCCATCGACTTACAGCCTGAAGATCAATTTTGTTACTTGTTTAGAATATCACTTAAGAGTTAATGTTTTTAACAGGAAACAGAGACAGTTTCATGCCATGGTATTGAGATAATCTAAAGCAAACTTCCACCACATTTATTTAAAATATTAACTATAAATTATAGCTATTATTTTAAGTAGGACCACAGCCAGGCAGACTGTTCCAGCTGCCAAAGAGGCAAATGAAATGTCTCCAGCCAAACACTCTGCATTCTTTTCTCCCCTCTGCCCCCCATCCAGATAACCATTTTCTCAGTTTAGTGAAGAAAGACACTTCTGTGAACTGATCTGGGTTTAAAATATAAACAATAACTTCACTCAAATCATCTTCAGCCTCAACCACAGCTTGTCTGATAAGGCCTTAAATCTACCCTAATGTGTACTGGCTGCACTGTAACCCACACAGTATGTATAATGTCATTTTACCAAACATCGTCCCACTTCCACTTGGGAGCAGTGAAAGCAGCAAATGTACAAACGCAGTAAAAATTTTCTAGCAGCTTATCTATGAAGTACAAAGAGGAAAATGTATCTGAATTAACAACAGCTTTAGGTCTTTAGGTCATGCTCAGGTAAAATACACTTAAGTTGAATTGATGCTATTTAAATGCAAAAGAAAACTCCCCTCACTGGAGAAAAATGAGAGTTGAGTTGTCCTGGTACTTTAAGCAGTTAATTCAAATTTACACTTCCAGGTTTCCCATTCTCAACTCCATGATAGTTATAAAACATATGTGCAAATTTGTCAGCTGTATGCCCACAAAACGACCCTGTTTCCGTACATGCCAGTTTGTGAGCACTGCCGTAACACTGATTTGCCCTTTACATCCCACTCTGAAAATCTGTCCTGTCTGTCTGTGGACATTTTTTTTCACCCTGATCAAAAGGACATTTGGTGCAGATTCTAGTTGCAAGAGTCCTCTTGTTGTTTTCCTCTGTTAACTGCCTTTATTCTGGCCACACTGAAAATTAACAGGTGAATTACATCCTGCCAGTCTCTGTTACAGCTAGCTAGCAGTAGGAAACCTCCCTTTGTGATCTGCTGTTTTGCTCTCCATGACTTCTTCACCCTTAAAATGTAGACTTGCTGGAGAAATTACTGACAGTTGATGAGGCATTTGTCTTTTGACTTTGCATGTCATTCCTAGGTACTGGTTTAGGAAATTTTCAGCGGCAATATGAAAGTGACTTGTGAAATCAGACGCTGACAGACTATTCAGTTTAATGAAAATATAATTATAAATATACAGTCATAGGAAACAGCCGAGGCTTTCTGTGTACAACAATGCCAGGGTTTGCACAGTGTTATCAAGTGCTTTTAACAATCGTCAGCTGTAGGAAATGCCATTTGTCAAGAAGCACAAGCAGATTAACTCTCATCTATTTCAGTAAAGTTTTTGTTGAGTAGGAATACGGATTTGCCATGTGGGTTAGCGTATTTCAAGTAATGCGAAGTAATGCTTTATTATTACAACTATGGGAATAACTTGTGATGTCTGTGCTGTTGGTGTCACAGCTTTCTTTGCTCTTGAGGGTTTTTTTTCTCCTCTTTTTTTTGGCTTTAAGTTATTATTATGTCCCGTTTCAGTGTTTGTGCTTGGCTAGTTCACAGCCAACAGCACAGTAAAATGGTGAATTTGCACAGGGAAACAGCTTGATAAATGTTGTCGACACATTTAAAATGTAAGAATTTGGGATGCGGTTAGTACAAACATCTCATAAATAAAATCTTTCATTTCTGAAACACTGTCATGTTTGGTTCTTGGGGCAATTAAAAAAAATTGCTTGACTTGATGGTCATGTTTAGAGATGCTTAACTAAGTGGTCATGTTCATATTTCAAAGCTTCTGGTGAGAGAAGGAAACAGCAATATTATAGCTAAAATTCTATGATTAAATACAAAAGAGATGTCCTCACAGCACTTGCTGCTTTTTTTTTAAAAAAAGGATTATTATTGAGAAACAATGGATGAAGGCTGGGAGCAGAGCTTTTCATAATTACTTTTCTTTATGTATATGTCCTGAGTCCTCAAAGCAGGTAAAAGCAGATAATGATGGTCCAGCAAAGATCAGTTTTAGAAATGCAAACAAAACCACCTGGTGCATTAGCTTGACCTCTAAAATATCACTTCACAAAATGGCAGCTGTGAGCTGTTTGAGCTGATAAATGTTAAGCTGCCAATCAATAGAAAGCCTGACAAAAATCAATTTTTTTTTTTTTTTAGCATCTGAAGCACAATCCTCTCTAACTTCTTGGAGATTTTTAATCCATAATGTGAGTCGAATGTGCCAGGTGTTAAAAAATTAACCTGTATCTTTATTGTAATTTACAGAGGTTTAGAAAATTCAAAAAGTCTTTGCCTGAGTGTACAGGTTTTAAATATCAGTGAAGTTCTGAGAGTGTTACAGTACTTGTAAACTCAGTGCTTGGAAAACCCTGTGCATGGTGGCAAAGCTGCTGCCCAAGTGGCTTAGTCTCAGTTGTATGTTTAATGAAAGTTTAGAATTCTTTTGGAAAATAGACAGATACTTGAAGTTTTTCAATAGATCATGTACTGCTTTCCAATGTCATAAGCAATCATTAGGCAAATGCATACAAACTACTTAATCTTCAGCAGGTGATATAATTTAAACTGCTTATTTCTGATAGAAGAACACCGTTGCTTCATAGCAAGGGACTCAGTTTCAGGCTCTGTACAAAAGATATCAAGTAGTCTCTTTGGAAGTCATTTAACAATTGAAAATTCAGTCATGGATGGAAAACTGCTGTCTTTTCAGCTTCAAACTCGTAACATATGTCTTGATCTTGATCTTGTACCTCAGCAAGTGAACATCTTCCTCAGGTGGTAACATCTCAGACAGATGCCATAGATGAGGAGTGGGTAGAACAAAGATAACAGGACTTCTGAAAAAATCATGTGGGACTTATGGAAGTGACACAGGGAAGGGTAATCCTATGTCCTACTCCACTTTTTCAGTCAGCGCTGAATCAATACTCTGGTCTGTGATAAGAAGTTTGCTCCTGAGAGTAGGATCAGCCCAATAATCACACTTCTACTGACGCAGAGTCCCACTTAACTGTCCATGGCTTTTTAAGCTTTTAAACTATGTAGAGGATTTGTGTTGGCTGTCAGCCCAAGGATTAATTTTGATCATTGTTGGAAATCATTGCTAAGGCAGGTACTTTCTTTTAGGTGAGATGTAATCCCTTTAAGTCCCAATAATACTGTTTTCTAAGTGCTTGGAGATGATGTTTAATTTAATTATATCTGCTTAAATTCTACATTTGCTTTCAAGTGGACATCTTCTATTGGGCAGGACTTTGAGCTATCTGGTCTAGATGAAAGAGTTTGGTCTAGATGATCTTTGAAGGTCCCTTCTGACCCAGACCTTCTGACCTGTGATTTTATGATTCTATTTTCAGGTGGTGAATCTAAACAAATTTTAGCAGATAATAGCATATTTTTAAAAGACTAAGTAGCATAGTTTTAAAAGACTAAAGAGCAATAATAAGAATGTTCCTTTCATTTATTTGTGTATACTTTATGTACAGTGCCTATAACAACAACACAAAAAATTAATGAGAAATTAAGACTAACTAAAATCACAAGGTGTAAAGAAAAAAAGTCACTACAACTCCAGGAAAACAACCAACACACCAAGATTGCCTTGTCTAACAAACAAATACAACGCTCTGACATGATGATTACGCACTGCAGAAGTATTTTTTTCACTGTATGTTTCTGCTTTATGACAGGCTATTTTATATTTTTTTCATTCCTTGTTAGTATCTGAAAAATACAATTTTAAGAAAACTGTAGCAAAGACAGTGTGTTGAGCGGGGTGGAGGAGAAGGACTTTTTCCTCCATGACAGAAGTCAGCACTCAAAATTTCACAGAAAGGTGAAAGATCACAAAGGATTGTCAAAGCATAATGTTAAGAGATCTTGACTTTAACCTAGTCCTTCCTAACACTTTTTATATTATTCATGCATACTATAATGCTTATTATAAATGAACATCAATTAGGCTGAAGCAAATAAATATTTCCATCCCATTTCCTAAGAGCAACAAGGATGTTTTAGTTCTGACTTGCTACCCAGTTTCTGTTTTTACCAGTGAGGAGAAAAGATCTTCAAACACCTGCTCAATAGGTAATAAAAGATTACATGCATAATGTTAGGAAAAAACCCAGTAGATTTCCTTGTAATTCCCTACACTCTGTTAAGCTTGTAGTTAAGAAGCAGTGGTGTTGGCATGGTCAAGGGACATGCACATTCCTTAGTATCTAATATCAAGCAGACATTAATTCTCATTAGATACAAATGATGTGTTCCAGTGTTAACAGAACCTGCTCTAATTGTAAAAGTACTTCGAAGCACAAGTATCAGATATTAGCCGAATACCCCCTTTGGCAGCATAACCTTAGTTCAGCACCCTATTATTTCCTGAAACCACAGGTTCTGATTCCATCTTGCTCTGCATGTGACCAGTGATGCTCCATCTACTCTCACTACTGCTGAACAAATTGGTTTTGAAGGCCTGGGCAGATAATACCGAAGAAGTCCATTGGCAAATAGGGAAACCTGTGTTACTAGCTCCCACACTGTCTTGATTGGGATGATAATTTTAAATTATTGACTATTGACTTTTCTTTTTTCTGTTTGTTTTTAGTTTAAACT